TTATTTACTGAAAGTGAGTATAGGTGGCGGTGACAAAATTTATTGAAAGTAAAAATATTAAACTGGGAAATGAGAAAGCAAAAAATACTAACAAGAAAATTAGAACACTGAACAAGAAAATATGAAAATTCATATGTAAAAGGGAAATTTGAAGCAGATAATCAAAAGAAAAATTACTGTTACAGGAAACGGAAACTAAGTTGACAAGTACGAATGTCAAAAAAGAAAAGTCAAATTTTGGCGTATGACAACCACGTGGGAGAATTTAAATAAACTAATAAAACATTTAATAAGATGTGAGTGGGCAAAAAATTAATGGAAACAGAGAAGAGAATCTAAATTGGGCGAGTTAATTACTATTGTATTACATATGACTTTTTTAACTCGTTTTGTTAAACTTTATGTAGCGCTTCCTTTATGGAAATAGTCAAGGTGAGTCAAGGTTATTGTTTAACTTCTTTTGTGTTTTTTCTGTTATTTTGTATACGTTAAAGTCCGTTCATGCTTTTATAATTGTTTTTTATTACAACTGACTTGTGAGAAATAAAGGACCTTTTCTTTAACCCCTTACACTTAAAAATGTTTATGATTGTCTTGTTTCTTTAATTAAATGAGTCGTAATATAATATTAAAATATTGTGTGTGGTCAAGACTATAATGACCTAGTAATAGTAGTTTCGTTGACGATTGTTGTTTAGATATTTGTTTATAAATTCCTCTTTAGTAAACAAAGAGTACTATTTCACTAAAATTTTTTGATGCAAAGAGGCTATACTTATTCAATTCACTATTTTTATTTTTAAATCTAAATTCTGAAATTATTTTTGCTTAAAGAAGCCTTTCAAAGAAAAGAAAAAAAATCGAAAAGAGCGTTTTTTTCTATAATTTTGCCAATACAAATTATTCTTTTGGTTGAATAATAGTAATGAATTCTTTTATTGCGACATGTTAATATCCTATTATAAATATTATTTTATCAACAATAAATAAACCTATGACTATACTCGTTTTTCAAATGTTGCCTCCAAAATACTTATTAAAATTTTGTATAAAAAAAAACCATATTAGGGCTAATGCTTGAGGTACTTTTGAAAAGCCAAGGATAGTTCCACCTGCAATATACACTTGTATGGTTGAGAACAGACAAAAAATTATTTCTTAATTTTTTTCAGTTGTTTCAAAAATAACTTTAAATCGCCTTGTAAGGGCGTTAGGAAGAACGCTCTTTAGATCGAGCCTTAGGCGCCTCCACCATATGTTAAGAGTGAGATTATAGGCCCTTTTTGACTGACCCTAAACTCCTCTCTTAGCAGTAAGCACGGGTTATATAGAGGGGCCCAATTTGTATTTAAATTGGCCTCTAGATAGCACACGGCTAGGGGGTTAAGTTCAAACAAGATGGGCCTAACGAACCCTAACTTCCTGACGATGATTCAGAGGGCGGGGAAAGGGTTTGCCCTACAGGGACTATTCCCTTTGGCAGTATCTCTCTCTCTCTCTTTCATAAATCAAAAAAATTCAAAAAAACAAGAGTATAACAAATAACTAGGATTTATTTAACAAATCGTCGGCTTACTGCCAAAATTGACCAAGTCAGATAATAAAACTTTAGAGATAAACAGTTTTAAATTAAACTGGTGACATACCATCAAATGTTATGAATACCCAAACTTTTTTTAAATTAGTTACTAGCTTAGTCAATTTTTTCAGATATAGAGTAAATAGTTTTAAGTGATTTTGTCGATAAAAACAAAAATGAGATTTTTTTGACTTGGTCACTTTTGGCAGTAAGCCGACAAAATATAGAAACAACTAGTATTGCTTATGCAATTCAGTAGTCTTTGCTGACTATACAAAACTAAATATTACTACTCAAAACTATTGACTTACATGAACATTATATTCTAATCCGTTAGGCTGTAGGGCTGGCTGATGCACACGTTACTTTTCCCACTATGTGGCTTTACAAAAAAACTAACCGCGATTTCGTGTGACCAACCCGTGATTCTCCTTTCCGACATAAAAAAAGGAATCCATTTAGTACGAATGATTACGACCGCTCTTCAACAAAAACCAAAAGGAACTTCCCGAAAATTAACTTGTAATCTTCCAAGAATGCTTTTGTTAATCTTTCTTGACCTTGTACTTTAATATTACGATTTAATAAAACCTTGTCCAACTACACGTTGTATTATTTTACTGAAAATCTATTTAGTGCCCCTGCCCTTGGCAAAACTTTACAAATCATAACATACCTATTCACAGGGTGTTATATTTATTCGTAACAATATTATTTCGAATTACTTACCTACGAAACTATTAACTAGGTCCGGAAACTCATATTCTGTTAGTAATGCACAGTACTGGTATATCTCCACTCCATATTCAATATACCTTCCAGATAGAAACCAACCACTTCGCACTTCACGACCAATGCTCACAACGACTGAACGTGTATACTGTGGCTGTGGATTTAACTCAACGACTGTGCAGGACGATATAATTCAATCCAGAAATTCTTCGCCATTAATCGTAACGGTTCGGTACATTTATTGTTAACCTGTATTACTGTGGTTGTTAGAAAAATATTACTATTTTGCAGATTTAGTTTGCTAGTTTTACGGTGGTAGTTATAAAAATATTACTATAGTCTATTTTTATGTATGAGAGAGTATTAAAATAATAAAGCGTTCGTAATCCATAGGCGTATCACTTCTTTTAGTAGACAGTTAAAATATTTTTTGAAGTTATTCCTCGAGTATATACTTATATTTTCTTTTCACCTTACACGGAAAAAATGTGACTAGAAAATTTTACTACAATGTTGTAGTAGTAGACTTGTAGAAAAATACTTAACAATTTGTAGAAAATTTTACTACAATTTATAGTTAAAAACTATTCATTATTGTAGCAATTGAATTGTCGAATAAAATGCTACAACAATAGGAAAGAATTCCACAATGTTTAGTATATTTTACTATTGTTTGTAGAAGTAGAAATTTGTTACAATTATTGTAATTACTACTACTAACTTCTGAAAAAATTTGTACAAATATTAATAATTATCTCTACAAAAAATAGTAATTTTCTCTACAAAAAATAGTAATTTTCTCTACAAAAAATAGTAATAATTTACATCCCTTCTTATGAAAAAAATTCAATTTTGTTCAAAAATATTCTATAATATTGTAGAAATTCTAAGTCATGTGAACAAAACAGAATTCTGATATTGGCCAACGTTTTTTGACGTCGATCATAAATGGCCAGACAGCAGTAGCCGTTCGCCATGTTCACATAACAAAGCATGGTACATATACGAGTACCTATAACACATTATTATATTATAAGCAACGATGCGTTTGAGGAAATTTTAATAATAAATTCTATTGGTGGTAAGTACATTTATTATTGTTTCTGAATAATTTACCTTTAGATAACTAATTTAAATAACCTTAGTAGATTATTTAAAAAAAAAATAATTGTGGCCAACGATCGAATGTTGTGCCCAACGATCGAATTTTGTGCCAAATTCAATGATGTTTTTTTGTCTTAATTGTGACATACCTACTTTCTCATTTTTGTTAGTTATCTGACAGTCATTTAATATCCAAATCAGTGTAAAGGTGATAAATATGCCCGTTTTAAGGGTATGAACAGTTCAATTGTTATTAATTTTTATTTCATATTTTTCAGGTGCAGAAAAGCCAACTGAGACTGAGGGTGCAATTATTACTGTTATTTATTACATAATGTAATTAAGACTTTGTATCTTTTATATTAAAACAATAAATTGAATATTTTATTAAGGAACATTTTTTTCTAGGTTATAATTATAATAATTATGGAATACTACTACAAGTTTTATTAAAAATTACTACAATTTGTATGAATTTTTACTATTTATTGTGTAAAATTTTCGTATTTATTTTCATAAAACGTAATACATTTTTAAAATAAAATCATACAATGAATAGCAAAAATTATAACAATTTGTAGAACAATTTTTATGATGCATTTGGATATTTTTACAAAACATTGTAGATAATTACTCTACAATACATTCTCCACAAATATTTGGAAATTTTTACTACAAATTGTCCCTGTCCCTATATGTACTATTTATTGTAGAGAAAAAATCTATAATTGTAGAAATTTGTTCTACAATTTTTTTTCCGTGTATTAACCTGCTTACAACTTCTAAACAACTGAAGGTAAAAAAGTGCAATTTTTTCTAAAATGTTTTATTTTTCCACAAGGTATGTTAAGAACATTGTGTCAAACGGGTTATGTAGGTATATGGGTTTAAACTTTGACTTTTAAACAACGTTACGTTCATAAATAATAATTTTAATATAAAAACTACTTCTTACCTACAAATCTAAATCAGAATCGAAATCAGAAGATGAACTGTCGCAACCAATATTTACAATGAGTGGCTAGATCATTTCATCAGTAATATTGTCCAACTTCCACATTTTCTCTTCTTTTTTAATCGTATGATTTACTGCCTTTTCCCAGTTTTTAGGCTTTACATTATTTACAGCCTCCAAAAACAACTGTTTAACATCACTTATTTTAAAAGAATAATTTTTTCTTGAAACTTCTCCCTTTATCTGTGCCCATATCAGTTCAATCGGGTTTACTTCGCAATGATATGGTGGTGATCTAACCACCGTCATCCCACGATTTTTTGCTATTTCATCAATTTCATATTTTTTGAATTTCTCTTTATGAAGGGAACACAAATGATACAGTTCTTTTCTCACAGAACCGAGATGGAACTTTATTCTTTGAATTTAGCCAATTCTGTAAATCTTTTTTTAACCACTTGGTTGTGGGCATTTTTTCTATAAGTCTCGAGTGATAACTTGCATTATCCATTACTATTATACAGTTCTGAGGAAGAAGATCTATAATTTGTTCGTACCACTCTTTAAACACATCAGCATTCATGTCCTCATGGTAGTCACCGGTACGAGTAGATTCAAAAGTCAATGAACCACCTTTTACAAAACCGTTTGAACTGCCGATGTGTACTATTATTAGTCTGCGCCCCTTTTCTGATGGTGGATTTAAACCAGTAGATAAATTATTTAAAAAAGCCTGTCTTCGACTTGTAACAGTTTCATCTTGCCAAAATTTATTTGGTTTATGTCCCTCGTTGATCCATGTTTCATCTGAATAAAATATATTTCTTCTTTGGTTTCTCATTTCTTTTATAGTCCTTAGGTAATTTCTTCTCCATACTACAATATTGCTTCTTTCTATTAAAATCCACTTTCTGGAATACTTTTTCCATAAAAAACCTATTTCTTTTAAAAGTTTCCATAGTGTGCTTCGACTCATTTCAGGGTAATCCTTATCATCTCGAACCGTGGCAAGAACTTTGTCTACTGTCGGAAATTCTTTTCTAATTGAAATTTTGGTTTTCCTGGAGCTTTACGTGCTGTTTAAAGCTCGCCACATTTCTCTTCTTTAACAACTCTGTAAATCGTAGATTTCCCAACACCAAGCGTACTACTAACTAATTCCACTGTGTCATCAACACTTTTACATAAATGTTTGTCTGTAAAAGATTTAAAACAATTACGTATTAATGTTTTTTCATTAACTGTTAAAGGACCGATTTATTGTCGTTTATGGGGCCCTTTCAAATTTTCCATGATCACACTAGAATTCACACTGCACCTTGCAAGTTGCAACTTAACGACATTTAGTAAAATGTCAAGAGTAAAGTAGCTACCCCGGTTGTAACCCATTTCCTTATGTAAATTAACGTGTTAAATTGCTAAGCTTTTCCAAAATGGCAAACACCGTTCTGGACCAAGGCTTTCTATTAATTCAGATAATGGCAGGTAGATGGCGCAACATGATGGCTTTCTATTAATTTAGATAATGGCAGGTATATACCGCAACATGATATATTGTGAGAATTTTAAACATCATTTAGATTCTAGAGTAATAGTTATTAACAATGCCCCCTCCCCCATAGTCTACTCGGTGACGACATCTAGCTGTGTGTATACGTTACCATCATCTGAACTCTTCTTAAATCATAGTTAAGCTTGCTTCTCCCAATATATCATGTTGCGCTATATACCTGCCATTATCTAAATTAATAGAAAGCCATCATGTTTCGCCATGTACCTGCCATTATCTGAATTAATAGAAAGCCTTGGTCCAGAACGGAGTCCGCCATTTTGCAAAAGCTTAGCAATTTAACACGTTAATTTACATAAGGAAATGGGTTACAACCGGGGATGCTACTTTACTGTCAAGAATACACAACTTGGACCTCCTTACGAAATGGAAAACCTATAATCGCATTTTCGATGAAATTTGTTGGGAAGGTATTTATACACTTATAATTCGATTGCTATAAGAAATTCTTGGAATTAAAATAAAACAAAATTGGTAAATAGGTACTTATTGAAAATAATCTTAAGATACGGCTATGTAATCTTTAATACACAGGGCTCAGGTACATTTATTACAATTTTAGGAAATATTTAGATTATTCTGTAAACATATTTAAAATGTCCGTACTGAGTTTTGCATTAGAAATGCTGTTTTATTACTCTCTCATACATAAAAATAGACTATAGTAAAGATCTAACTGCGGTAGTAATAAAAATTACTGATTCAGTAAGAAAGGGATGGTAATACGAATAATAGTAATTATATTTCTAAGTGGAGTAGTAGAAAGTATTACTGCCACGGTAAGAATTTGGACTGTAAAACTTAGTTTACAGTCCTAGTAATACATCTACAGTTATTGTTAGACAATCTAACAGTAGAAGTAAACAGTTTTACAGCCACATTAAACTTTTTAGTAGTAACACTTTCTTACTGACGCGTTTTCCTCATTGTATCCATTTTGTTAACCACATTATAAATCTCTGGAGAAAATTAGATTTTAATTATTAAAAAGATTTCAATCTTGTTTGCTACCAATTTTAAACAATCAAAAATATTTTTGAATTATCTCTACTCCGTTTTTTCTCTTTCTAGATTTTGACCATCATCATCGCAATATCAGGAGATATTATTGAAAATTCCGGATACAAAATAATCAAATTGTTACATATTTTGCAACTAAGCATTGAAGATGAATTTCTGAAGCAGCAATTAAGTGAATTTTCCGCACTGGTAGTAGAACTTAGACCGACTTTATCAGTTTCTGGGTACTTTGACGTAAACAGGAAATTACTACCAATGTTAATGTCTAGTTTTACGGCTTATATAATTATATTGATTCAATTAAAGCAATAATAAGATACACATCTACACAAATGTTTTCCATTTTTTTTAAATACTGGTAATTTAAGCACAATAAACTACACTGAATACTGAAAGATCTGAAAGACATTAATATTATGAAACACAATATAAGCCAAGAATATAAATCCCAGCTAGCACAAAAACATCCCTTCTACGTTAATAAGCTGCAATTTTAGGCTCTTCAAGCTCGCATGCAAAGTACTTTTAATGTAACCCTAATATCCTTGCAACTGCCGAATGTCCGTAACGACAAGACCATTATAGCACATCTCACAGAGGTTACAAAGTGAAGTTCGGAAAACATCACACTAGCACTTTTACGTTACTTTTCCCGAAAGTTGCTCTAAAACGTTTTGTAGATGTTATAATGTGAATTCATGCTACAGCATTATACAGTGTGTTCAAGGATGGACTTAACAATACTTATTATATTATATTTATTTTAAATTTAAAAAAAAGTATTTTTTTTAATTTCTTTTGTTTGTTAAATAAATACGATTAACGTGGGGAAATTATGAAAAATTACTTTTTTGAAACATACATATTTTTACAAGTGCATCCTTGGACACACACTGTATGTAAAATAGTATATTGAGGATATAGCGAAATATGAATAAAACAAAATAAAAAATTGTATAAATTTATTATTAAAAAGCTTTTGAAATCAAGTACCAATATCACACAAGTAGAGGTAGTTATTAATAATATAGGTATATCCATGGGCGTCGTTACACAATTCTATAGGGAGGGGCAAAATTTTTAAAAAATTTAGAATGTTTATTTGTTGAAAAACAAAGAAAATTAAAAATAATAGAGCAATACAAATTAACGAAAATTTCTAATAAATAAAATAACCCAACAAAAATTAAAATATTAAAAAACAAGAAAATTGAAACACATATTTTTAAAAAACAAACAAAAGGTGTGGTATATAAGAAAAATATGAACAAGAAGACAGAGCCATACATAATATAAAAAAAATAAAATATTTATAAAAACACAAAAACAAAAAACTCAGTCGTACGTTAACGAACAATAGGAAAACGCAAATTTTTAATTTCTTCTTCCTCGATAAATCGATAAAAGAAAACATGATTTCTTTTAAGGTTTTTTGGGATTATTTTTCGATGTATGCTCATCGTGCAAAGCGCAGTCAGCTCATTGTTATTCATTATTCGCTCTGTGCGTGACAGCAGCGCTGACTAATTTATGAACTAACGGATGATATTTGTGTACACTGACAATACAATTTTTAATGAAATTCCTAATTAAAAAATATATATGTTGATTTTAATAAAAGTATATGGATTTTTAAAACAAGTGAAAAAAATTATTAATAATATATATTTTTATTACTTCAGCTAAAAAAAGCAGTATAGTCAATAAAAATCAATATTAAAACATAGGCAAGCAACAATATTTACGAGATAATGTATGATATGTTGCCTAAGCCTAATAAGTTGTCATCGAAGAATAGGTTAAATAATGTGAAAATTAAAACTTTACCATTATACAGGGTGGCTCACTCTCAACGGGACGGAGCTTTATGGGAAAACGACCAAAGATATAAAAAATTCGTTTGGGAGGAATACGTAGGTTACAGACGGCTACAATTTAAAATTTGTTAGATGTATACAGGATGTCCCACATAAGAAAAAAAAATTAGTTCATTAAAAATTATTCAAACAAGAGTAAACAATTAATTTATGGGAGACTTTTTTTCCTTAAAAATTCAAATAAATCGAAAACTAATAATAATAATAGTAATAGGGAACCTTTAGTTAACTGACATTATTTTTGATGTAGTTTTTAATTCTAAAATAAAAACAGGGTGTTCCATTAAAAATAATATAACTTTGTATATTTTCTCTTATGTGGGACATCCTGTATACATCTAACAAATTTTAAATTGTAGCCGTCTGTAACCTACGTATTCCTCCCAAACGAATTTTTTATATCTTTGGTCGTTTTCCCATAAAGCTCCGTCCCGTTGAGCGTGAGCCACCCTGTATAACAACGTAGTATCAAAACGTATTAACAAAAATAATTGGTTAATTTGCGATTGTAATTTATATTTTCTTTATTTTTAGTTCGAAAGAACCCATAGAAATTAATGAATAAAATTGGTTTCCTATCAATGAGTCAGAAGATTACATTTCAGCCACATACAATAATCAAAGGCAGAAATCTAATCCTTGCTGAAGATTTAGGAGTTAAGGGATATTGAACAACATTGTTAAATAATAATTTATTGTTTATTTAAAACCTTTCAATTTTCTGATGTCGACTTTTTCCAGTATTACTGTTATTAAAAAAATAATGTTTTTTTTTCTTCTTATTGTACAGCTATCCATGTATTTCTTTGATTTAATTTCCATTTTTCTACTGAAAATGCTTAATAATGGATCTCCAAGTTATACAGAGCTTTTTATAAAAAACAATGTTTTTTACCACAATATTCTGCTGTGAAAGAAAAAGAAATAATTTCAGATGTTATACATTCTTTTTTAACCAGTTCTTTATTATTGACTTTAGCTTCTAAAATTCCAGAGAATTTTACTAGAATTATAATCCAGCACAAAGGAAACCTATAAGATAATATTTTTAAAAGGTATTTTTAGCGAATAAGAATATTATTACACTAGCGCGACCATATGCACAGCATTTTGATGTATTGTACAGCATTTTTAAAGTCTATCCAGCATTTGATATTGTGCAGCAA